AGAGAAAGAGAAAGAGAAAGAGGGAGAGAGAGAGAGGCTCTAATATCTCACATGGACATCATTAATCAAAACTCTGTTGATAATTACCCTTTTCATACACTACATAATTTTGAAAATCTCCTTTCAACGCCTTTCCACACCAAGAAAAATGTCTCATTCCTAGCATTTTTCCAACAAACATAATAATTATGGTCCAACCAACGTGCTACACAAATCCAACACCAGTTCCTGCATCAAACATAAGCTTGATCTGCCAAGATAAGCTATCCTATCAGTTCACACAGCTACACCCATGACTGCTGTCTGTTGCCTCACTCTTGAGAATCTTCCAAGTTAGGAACGTAGGGGAGGAACAAGAGTCAGCCACTCAGTCCCCGAAACCTTAATATCGGATTAAAATTCATATCAGATTAGATTCTGGGCTAATTGCATCTCAGCTTCATCTTCTGACCTTGGCCCTTAATCCCCATCAATTCAGTTTGAAATTTTCAGGTGGCCCCACTACCTCATTTGCTCTTTGGTGTGGGGTGTTTTAAGTTAGTGGAGTGAAAGAGCTCCAGTTTTCCATTTCCCTTTGTGAGAGGAAACGCTCCTGATATCAGCCCTAAACAGCCTCACTAACTATAAGGTTGCATCCCCTGCTTTGGACTCTCCCCTCAGAGGAAACGGTTTTCCCTTATTTAACCCATCGAGTCTTTAATAATCTTCAACACCAATCAGATCGCCCATTAATCATCATACTTGGAAATACAAACCAAGGTTATACAAAGTGTCCTTGCAAAATGTTATTCTGGTAAATTTGCCCTTGCCTCTATGAAGTCAATATATCCCTCCAGAATGTGGTAGCCAGATTGGTGCTATCCAACTGGGGTTTAAAGTGAGCTTTATACCACAGCAACATGTGCATCCCTTTTAATGCCAGTCCCTTCTTCGAGTTAAAGGCCAATGTTCCATGAACCTTATTACTCTCTGCATCTGACTGCTAGATTTCACAACTGCTGAACTCAGACACACACCCTTCTCTGAACCCCCACTGTTTTTAGCTTCCGGCTGTTTTGTGCATTTGGCAATATGTAGTATGTCACCCGACTTGATATCATTGTCTAACTTGCATCTTCTCTCTCTCTCTCCTCCTTCAGTCAAGTCATTTAAAATTGTTGTGGAAAACTGAAGTTCCAGTAATAGTGCTCAATCACAACTCTGGGAAACCATGCTAGTCATATGGCATCAATTGTCGTGCAAATCCATTATCCATACGCTGGCTCCAACATCCTAACCAATTTCCTGGCTACACCAATAGATTGCATCCCATTCCAGGTATTCTCCTTTCTGCTAGCAGTCTCTGATGTGACATCTTGTTAAATATGGTCCGGAAGACTTTGTAAATAAGGTGTTAACTCATTTATACTCTTTATCACATTTGAAGAAAGATCCAACTGGGTTCATTCGGCAACGTTTACGCACTAGCTCCCGTTTGTCTGAAAGCTCAATCACTGAGCTCAACAACTGATTCTGATAATATTCCCGTAAAAGGTGATAGTTAATGGCCAATAATTTCATTGTTACTGTCTTTTTAAATAGTGCAGTGGCATGGGCAGTTTTCCAGTCTAAGGATGAAATTCCTGAATCAAAAGCGTTTTGCAAGATTATGACCGGAACATCTATAATTTCCTCATTGATCTCTTTCAGTAACAAGTTGAAGTTCTCTCTAATTTTGTTATTTTCTCCATTTTGTAAAAAATCTTAGCCATTTAAAATTTATTAAAATGCTCTCTTGACATATTTTTCATCTTCATTTCTGATATTATTTTCCCCAAGATGTTTCATAGGTTTAAAAATTTCTTTTAAAACATTGAGCCTTCTCCGCTGCTGAGAAAATAGTACAAATATTTCAACTTCCAATTGAAAAATCCCATCTATAGTTCCATCCCTAATGTCCTGACTGGAAAGTGGTCACAGCCCAGATAATTCATTTTTATAATTATTCACTGGTGAATATGGGCATTGCTGACTGGCCAGTGGTGCTGAGTTGCCTTCTTGAGTGCTGCAGTCCACATGCTGTAGGTTGACCCACAATGCCATTAGGGAGGGAATTCCAAGATTTTGACCCAAGCGATATATTTCCATCTCAGGATGGGTGAGTGGCTTGGAGGGGAACTTGCAGACGGTATTGCTATGTGTCTGCTGCCCTCGTCAAAGCCCTTGTCTGTCTATTTCTTACCAAATGATCCACATTTCAGTAGCTTTAGAAATATAATGCATTAACTCTAGCCAAGAATGCTGCAAGCAATTCAGGAAACAGACTACCTGCTGAAAGAAGTTATATTTTCAAGATTATTGTAGGCCATTTCCTAAATAAAAGGACAAAAAAAACTGCAGAGGAAATCTCTCAAATGTAGTTGAAGAAATATGTTGACTGAAAACGTCTTTCATCCAGGAACAGATGCCTACTCTAACAGTGGGCTACTGGTCCAGCAAGGTAACCAGGGATCTGAAGATGAGTTCAAAACTCACCGTGGTAGTTGGCGATTTTTTTCGATTAAATTAACCTCTGATGAAAAGCTAGTATCACAGGTGACAACTGTGAAACTACCAGATTACTATAAGAACCTATTTGGAGCAGTCATCTCCTTTTAGGAGGGAAAACGGCTTATCTTATCTGGCCTACACTCTATTCAAATTCTGACCCACAGTAATGCAATTGATGCCTAAATGTCCTCTGAAATGGCCCAGCAGACAGCTGTTAGAGATGGCCAATGAACGCTGGCCTTTTCAACGATGCTCATATCCTGTGAACAAATAGAAACTCAGTCTGAACACATGCTGGTCATGGAAGATTTTCAGAGAGGGGCCAAGACTGAATTTGAGCCACACAAGGGAACTTTAGGGAACAAACTAAAAAGGTGAATATTTCCAAGTCTAGCATCATCTGACCTACTCTTGCAGATACTGAGCATCAAGGCATCCACATCTAGTTCCACCTACAATGACATGTACTCTTATCCTTCACGAGGACAAGTTCAAACTTAATTTAAACGCAATGCCACAGTAGCCCAAGTTGCCTTCTGACAGAGCAGTCAACATAAAACAGTTGCTCTAGCGTCAGACTTATGACACTCCAGTGAGGCCAGAAATAAGAAAATAATACAGTTGAATACATGGTTAAAGAGATGGTGTAGGAGGGACAGATTCAGACATATGGATCATTGTAATCTTTTCCAGAGGAAGTGGGACCTTCTCCAGAAGGACAGCTTGACCTAAACTGGATAGACACCAATAACCTTGCAGGGAGGTTTGCTCGTGCCACTCTGCAAGGTTTATGCTAGTATGGCAGAGGTTGGGAAACAGAACAGTAGGTGAGTATGTGGAGCATTTGAAGACAAGAGCGGGGCTAAATCAAAGAAGTCTAATAGGAAAAACGGGCGGGGTCAGGTTAATGAACATGGCAGGACTCATGGTCTGAAGTGTATTTATTTTAATGCAACAAGTGCAACAGGCAAGGTTAATGAGCTTGGGGCATGGATTAGTACATGGGACTATGATATGATAGACATTACAGAAACCTGGTTCAGAGAAGGGCAGGACTGATAGTTTTGGGGTTTAGATGTTTCAAGTGTGTTAGAGAGAGATGTAAATAGGATGGAGGAGTTGCATTACTGATTAAGGAGATTGTCACAGCTGTACTAAGAGAGGACATCTTGGAGGGCTCATCCAGCCAGGCAATATCGGTAAGAACTTGGGAATAATAAAGTTGCAATCACTATGATGAGGTGATAATATAGGCCTCCCAATAGCCAGCAGGAAATAGCAGAACAGGTACGTAAAAGGATCATGGAAAGATGTTTACTGTGGAGAAAGCAGAGAAATAAACTTTGACATGTCATAAACAGTTCACACGACAGAAGAGTAAGTTCAGGACATCTCAAAGAATATAAAAGTGGATCTATCTCTGGGACCCGATCTAATGTATTCCAGAACATTGTGGAAGTAAGGGAGGAAATTACGAGACTCCCTGCAGAAATATTTGTATCATCTGTAACCAGGGGTGAGGTGGCTAATGACTGGAGGGTGGCTAATGTTGTACTTTTGCTTAAGAAAGGTTGTGAGGACAAACTGGGGAACTATAGACCTAAGAGTCTGACTTCAGTTGTGGGTAAATTGGTGGAGGTAATTATAAACGATAGGATTTATGGACATTTAGAGAGGCAAAAATTGCTTAGGGATAGGCAGCATGGTTTTGTGTGAGGAAAATCACATCTCACAAACTTAATTGCATTTTCTGAGGAAGTTACCAAAAAGATCGATGATGGCAGAACAACAGACGTTGCTTACTTGGATTTTAGCAAAGCCTTTGACAAGGTTCCGCATGGTGGACTAATTAGTAAAGTTAGGTCATACAGGATTCAGGGTGAGCTTGCCAATTTAATACATAATTGGCTTAATGGCAGGAGACAGAGAGTAATGGAGGAGGCTTGCTTTTCAGACCGGAGGCCTGTGACCAGCAACATTCCACAGGGATCAGTTCTGGGTCTTCTTTTGTTTGTCATTTATATAAATGGTCTGGGCGAGAACATAGAAGGCGTGTTAGCAAGCTTGCAGACAACACCAAAATTGATGGCATAGTAGAGAGCGAAAAAGGTTTTCTAAGATTACAAAAGGATCTTGATCAAATGGGTCAATGGGCTGAAAGATGGCAGATGGAGTTCAATCTGGATAAATGCAAGGTATTGCATTTTGTTACAACAAGGGTAGGGCTTATACAATTAATGGTGGGGCTTTGGGCAGTGTTTTAGAACAGAGGGACCTAGGGGTGCCGCTACACAATTCTTTGAAGTTTGCATTGCATATAGACAGGGTGGTTGAAAAGGTGTTTGGCACACTTGCCTTCATTGCTCAGTCCTTTGACTGTAGGAGTTGGGAAGGCATGTTGAAGTTGGTAAGGCCTCTTCTGGAATACAGCATCTAGTTCTGATCGCCCAGTTATAGGAAAGATATTATCAAGCTGGAGAGGGTTCAGAAGAAATTTACCAGAATGTTGCTGGGTATGGAATGCTTGAGTTGCAAAGAAAGGCTGGATAGGCTAGGACTATTTTCACCAGAGCGTAAGAGGTTGAGAGGCGACCTTAAGTATAAAATAACGAGAGGTATAGATAGAGTAAATGGTAGTTGTCTTTTCCCTAGGATGGGGGATTTCAAAAGTAGAGGGCACATTTTTAAGGTGAGGAGAGAGATTTTAAAAAGACACGAGGCAATTTTTTTTTTTTTTTTTTTACACAGAGGGTGATTCATGTGTGGAATGAACTTCCTGAGGAAGTAGTGGAATCGGGTACAATTACAACGTTTAAAAACATTTGGATAGATACATGAATAGGAAAGGTTTGGAGAGATATGGGCTAGAAGCAGACAGGTGGGACTAGTTTAGTGTGGGACTAGTTTAGTTTGGGATTATGTTCGGCATGGACTGGTTGGACCAAAGGGTCTGTTTCCACGCTGTATGACTATGTAAAAACAGAATTGTGGTAGTGGGCAATTTTAATTTCTCCAATATTCACTGTGACTTCCTTAGTGCCAGGGACTTGGGACAGAATTTGTTAGGTAGATAAATCCTAGGAGGGATTTTTGAAACAATAGATAGAAGGTCCAGCTAGGGAAGGGGCCATGGTAGACATTGTGCTGGGGAATGAGCACAGCCTGGTGATTGAAGTTTCAGTGGGGGAGCATTTTAGGAACAATAATCATAATTTTGTTAAGTTTTAAGATAGTTCCGGAAAAGGATAAGACTGGCCCTCAGGTCAAAGTGCTAAGCTAGGGACAGACTAATTAAAAACAGTATTAGATAGGAACTGGAAAAATTGGTTTGGGGAAATCTGTTTGAAGGCAAATTCACATCTGACACGTGAGAGCCTTTTAAAAGCCAGTTGACCAGATTCCAGGATGAGCACATTCCTGCAAGGATGAAGGACTGGGACGGGGACATTGTGAAGGCAAGATTTGGGAACTGTGGATGACAAAAGATGTTGCAAGTTTAGTTCAAAAGAGAAATTAAGCATTTGAGGGGTTTAGGAAATTGAAATCAAACAAGGCCCTCGAGGAGTACAAAAGCAAGCAGAAATGAACTGAAACAAGAAATTAGGAGAACTAGAATGGGCCATGACATGTTCTTGGCAAGTAGGCTTAAGGAGGATCCCAAGGCATTTTATAGGTATTCTAGGAGCAAGAGGGTAACTCAGGAAATGATAGGTCCACTCACCAACAAAGGAGGGGATTTATGCAAGAAGCCAGAGGAATTGGGTGAGGTCTTTAATGAGTACCTCACATTGGTACTTACCGAGCAAAGGGACATGGACAATGATAAGTTTAGAGAGGATTTTGTTATACGCTTGGACATATAGATATTAAGTGGTGGTGGTGTTAAAACACTAACGTAGATAAGCCTCCACTGCCTTATGGAATTTACCCCATGCAATGATGCTATGGCTTTGACAGGTGTACTTTGTCCTCTTTCTAAGAGAGGTCAAGACACAGCCTCTAAGCCCATAAAGTAAACAGCTT